CTTCTTTCTTTGCGTGCACATTTGGGCGGCATTATGCTAATATTTCCACATAGTGAGGTAGATATGTGGGGGCGTGTTAGAACGAGCCGTTTTAGGGGGGCGTGGCAGAGTCTTAACTTTGATAAAGAATATCTCTTTGGTTTTGAGACTTTAGTCTTTGCAACTTCAGGGATCTTATCTATGCACAATCAGCTTGTAACACTCCAAAGAGAAAGGCATCATATGACCCCTTTAAATGTATGTGAATTCTTCCAACTATTAAATCAAAGTCTGATAAAAAACAATAAAACTGCAACAGACTCGTTACAGTCCCAGAAAGTTTGTTGGAGAGTCATTACACTGCCACATGCACTAAAACTGCCACCGTACCCTAACAAGGGCTAAAGTAACAATGCAACAAGAGATAAATGCTTTCTTTTACATGTTAATCTGTGATTTGCTTTTAACCTGCTGTGACAAACAAGAAGATATTTTGTTGTGTTGTATTTTTGAGGTGTTTTCTTGAGTAGCCGTACAACTTTGGTAACACTTTTCACTTTAATAAGTTTCTATATGTTAGGCCTAACGCCAGTTAATGCAATAGCTGGTATGTAGTGTAGTGTGTTATGCGTGAACATGAATTAATAAACATGACAAGCACACGCATTCAGAAACCTGCTATAAAAAAAGTCCTGTGAATATATAACATCAATATAGCAAATATGAGAATTCCAGATAAATCCACAGGATGCACGATCAATCCCATGCATCGTCCACTCACCTGGTTATCAAATTTGAGTGACTGTGTGCCCACTAGAAACCTGATGGCATCTGTCTCAGCTGTCTGAGCTGTCAGAGCACGTGCCTGAAACACGCGGAGAGAACGAAAGCCCATGCATTAATGATACACAGACAAAATACTGGAAAATACAATACATATATGACACCAAATGCCCGCGAGCTGCTACCTAGACTGCATTTTTGGGCATCATAGGTGAGCTCATTAGTATGTTTGCTGCCCATAGTTCACGCGGAAATGTTGTCTAGGTAAGCCCAAAACCACTGTCTAGCTACACATATCATTTAAACGACCTAAAATGACATCTGGGTAGGCAGTCGAACCAATGGCAACAATACTGGCTGGGTAGGCAGCTCACTAAACACAGCTAAAAATACATAAATATTGTCTGATCCAGTGTTATTTTAGTATCATGTTATAGCTTTTATTAATATTTGAAAATCTTTTTTTTTTTTTTTATTAAAATTGTATTTAATTATATTTATTTTATTTTATCCATTTAATTGTTCTTTTATTTTCATTTTAATTTTAGTATTTTTTTTCTTCATTTTTATTAGCTTTTTTGAAAATATGTCTATATTATGTTTTATTTCAATTTTAGTTCGTTTAGTTCATCAAGTTAAACTATATAGAAACGAGCTCAAATAAGAGCAAGCTGAAATTAGTTTATTTTATTTTATTATATTTTATTTCAGTTCATATAATAACCCTGATCTGATCTGAAGTATGTAAACAATGGTACAAAAAATGTACAAATCTGGTACACATGTATGCATATGGTATATATATGTTTTATTTGGTAAGTGTCTTATTTTGGCATATTGTTATGAATATGACAATCATAATATATTGCAGTGCTATGGTATTAGCATCTGATTCTACACTTGTGTATACTTTATACAGTGTGACAGATGTTTGAAACGGAAAACATCTCTCCATTTGTTAAGTTTAATACAAAACCTAGTTTTTAATAACCATCTGATATTAAGCATGCAACCAGTTCACTGTGAAACAGCTCGTGCATTGCTGCTGTGTGCATACATTAAAAGGCAAATAATGCTACAGTACCTGAAACTCCAGGCCGTAAATAACCGGTGCATCATCGTCCATCTTCAGTCAGTCAGTCACTTATTCATTTATCATTTAATTAACATCAACATTCTCTTGTTCATCAAATACTACTAACACAGGCACAGCAGTTCCGCGAGAGTAAAACAAGACGTACGCAAACGGCGCGCGGAACTCCCGTAACACTCTTCACTATGACTTCCTTCTTCGGGCTTCGTGAACGTAAGCGTTGTTCGAGAATACCAGCTCCGCCGTAGCGAAGAGGTTTGACACCTTTCGCGCACCGTAGGGTTATTTTGCTTACGTCGGTGTTTACACTGCTGTCATCCTAGCGTTCATTTAACAGAAGGTAAAGTCTTGTTTTTACTGTTTTATTATAATATAATAGTTTTTTTTCTCTCTATACGGACGTATTGTGAAGAATATGAGGGTCTCTGAAATGTCAACATTGCGTTTTAGTCTAAATGCATCATGCAGCTGCTACAGAGCTCTTCGGATATTCAGCATCTGGTTATTATTATTATTGATAAACAGCATTTTAATCATGTTTCTGTATTAATGTTCGGATTGCTATCATTACGTGTATAATGATTCCAGCGCGGAACTCCCGTAACACTCTTCACTATGACTTCCTTCTTCGGGCTTCGTGAACGTAAGCGTTGTTCGAGAATACCAGCTCCGCCGTAGCGAAGAGGTTTGACACCTTTCGCGCACCGTAGGGTTATTTTGCTTACGTCGGTGTTTACACTGCTGTCATCCTAGCGTTCATTTAACAGAAGGTAAAGTCTTGTTTTTACTGTTTTATTATAATATAATAGTTTTTTTTCTCTCTATACGGACGTATTGTGAAGAATATGAGGGTCTCTGAAATGGCAACATTGCGTTTTAGTCTAAATGCATCATGCAGCTGCTACAGAGCTCTTCGGATATTCAGCATCTGGTTATTATTATTATTATTGATAAACAGCATTTTAATCATGTTTCTGTATTAATGTTCGGATTGCTATCATTACGTGTATAATGATTCCAGTGGCTCGTTTGATATTATGTCATTCTTTTTGTTTAGATCAAACGAGAAAAGGTTTACAGGTTTTATGTTTTTCAGACAAGCTTAAAGGTTATTTGTCAAATCCTGATATTTCTCTATACTTTAGTCTTTCTGATTTGTGTTACAGTATTTCGATAAATTATAGTTTCCTTAAATATTGTGTGAACTATAGAAATGCAAGATGTCATGGGTCGAAAAAAAACACTCTGAAGTTCAGCTAATTGCATTTAATATGAATTTAAAGCTTTAATTCCAGTTAATATGACATTAAGTGTCCAAAAACATTACATTCAGTTCACACTTAATGCAGATTATTTGCAGAATAAGTATGCTGAAGTGTCCTTCTCCTCAAGGGTGTTGTGTATGTGACTATAGTTTATTTATTAGTCATTTATCTTGATGTGTTGATCTCTGTTTTGTTTGAACTGGGGTCGCAGGGACCATCCAGGCTGGACTCATGGACAGCAGTGAAGCTCCAGCTCCGAGGCCTGTTACTCTGGCGATAGATGGAGCAGCTGAGACGCTAGAAGCCTCCGTCCCGCCCCAGACCGACCCGACAGAAGACTCGTTCCGAGAGGAGAGCATCGACCTGGACGCCGAAGCGTTTGTTTCGCCGCAGGATGACAGCAGTCACTTTGAGAGCCTGAAAGACAAGCTGAATGACCAGATGATGGAGAGCGTGATGATTTCCGACTCCCCGAATAGCGAGGAAGAGGACGTGGCTCCCATTGACTCGCTTCTGGAGCAGAATGAAGAGGAGGAGGCCAAAACAACTGACGGAGATACAGAAGAAAGAAACGAAGACGTAAGCACAGCCAGCGCTGCTGAACCTGAGGAGGCATCTGAGGCTTTATTTAAAGAAGAGAGCGAGGAGGAGAAGATCGTGCAGGTGGATGACAAAAGGGAAAATGTTGCACCGGACGACCCAAAACCAGAGGCTCCCAAAACTCAGGAGCCAGCGCTTGAGATAGATACGGATATGCCCCCCAAAGACGAGGCCGTCCCGGTGTGTACCATCTTTAACCAGGGTGTGCTACCCAAAGCACAAGCCCTGATTCCCGACGGCTTTCAGCCCACGCTGGTCAAATCTCCAAGTTTCACCATCGGCAACACAGAAACCCCCAACAAACTGGTCCCTCAAGTGTGCCAGCCGAGCCCCAGCCTCAGCAAGTTCTTCACGGAAAGCAGCGCGGTCAACCCCGCCTCAGACTTCTTCGATTCTTTCACAACGTCCACGTCTTTCATATCAATCAGCAACCCAAACGCAGAGTCGCCCAAAGCAGCCGCCCCTCCAGAGTCTCCTCTCTTATCTGCCGCCACTGCTGCGGAAACCGTACCGACCAGCACATACTTCACCCCCGTCGCTACCAAACCTCAAGTAAGTCCCGTAGAGCCCATGAGTCAGCTCCAGACTGTGTTCCCGAGCGGCGACGACCCCTTCGGAAGTGCTCTGATCACCAGTGATCTGGATAAGCGCTATGACGCCTGGCTTCCCTCAGACGACACCAGGAAAGTGCTGATATCGGTGGCCACACAGCAGATCAGTCCTGTCCAGATAGACAGAGAGCAGCTCGCCATGCCTGGACTCAAGTTTGACAACCTACAGGTCAGTGCAAAATTACATTTTCAAATTTCATATGACCCAAAAATAAATATTGTGTCATTATTAAAGGCACAATATGTAATTTTCGCCCGCTAGAGGGCACATATTCCAAATAAACAAAGAGACAATGGCGAAGTTTGATGACGCGGTGACTGAGTGTGGAATCATGGGAGTTGTGGTCTTCATCCCCACAGCAGATGCAATCCGACGGGACTTGGGCAGAAATCATGTTCATAGATGAGCTAATGATCTATTAACGTAGGAGAGTGAAGCAGGGTGAGGCTGAAAGCCATCAAAACGAAACGAGGCGCTGAACGAGCGCGACACATGGCTCGAAAGCAGCGGAGCTTTTATTATGCCACAGTCGACCGCTTCCGCTCCTTCAGGTCGTGCGTATGTGGGGTGCATTATGCTAATATTTCCACATAGTGAGGTAGATATGTGGGGGCGTGTTAGAATGAGCCGTTTTAGGGGGGTGTGGCAGAGTCTTAACTTTGATAAAGAATATCTCTTTGGTTTTGAGACTTTAGTCTTTGCAACTTCAGGGATCTTATCTATGCACAATCAGCTTGTAACACTCCAAAGAGAAAGGAAAACTTGAAATTGCATCATATGACCCCTTTATAACACACAACGTATTAAAGCGTCTTTGGTGTTTCCATGTTTTCCGGAAATTGAGGGGTTATGACGTCATTGGGAGGCGACACAATGACACTATAGACACGGTCCACACTAGTTAAAACTAGTGACACTAGTTAAAATTGCTTATTTCTCTGGATTTAAACATTCTTCGAAACATTTGGGATAATGTACGTACACAAGTCTTTGCCAGGTTCAACTAGGCTTGCCGTGATAGACGGTGCTGACGGTGATACCGGTGTTAAGCCGCAACACCGGTTACGTCACTTGCCCACCGACCCCCACCGTCGTTTAGATTTTTTATAGTAATAAAAATCATTTAGTTCAGTAAAAGAACAGACACTACAATTAAAAACTGAACGCGGGTGCTGATTGAGGCGAGACAGACGAGAAGAGTGAGGCGAGACAGACGAGAAGAGTGAGGCGAGACAGACGAGAAGAGTGAGGCGAGACAGACGAGAAGAGTGAGGCGA